AAATAATACTAAAGAGAGAAGATACAAATGCCTTAAATAGATAAGAAGGCAATTGAGAGGTGTATCTAAATCCTAAACATAAGGCCTCCTTTTATAGGGGGAAAATCCCCCCAACCTTAAGTTTCCCAACGGTGTGGGACAACTGTTTGAATTTTGACAATTCAACATTTACTTCTATGATATGTTTGTTTGCATTTATCTCAAAGGTCTGCTGAAGTTTCTTGGCAGCTAGCGATCCCAAAAGTATTTTAGAGTAAATATTCCAAGCATAATGGGTTGTTTTTACTTACGAATCGTCTTGCTGAAGAACCTGTAACAACCCAACCCCTCGTTTTGAGACTTTGTGAAAGTCAATATTACTCGTTGAGACTTGTTGGAATGGTTTGGGTTGGGACCTGAGGGCCTAGGACGGGTCTCGTCACATTTTGGAACCATGTTGCAGCTGCAGTTTTCTGCTATCAGCTGGTGCACTGCAATTAACCACTTTTATAAGATTGTTTTCTTTCTACTACCAATACAACTTTATCTTCATCCCTAGCTTGTCATACTGTGATGAAGGGGACAGAGTAGATGGTGGCATAAGATTCTTCGTTAGCTTCGTGTAGTAGAGAACAGAAGCTTAAATCAATTCTATATTCTCAATATCTGCTTCTCCTCTTAAACGCTCTATGCCCATATTCTATTAAAGTACATAAATAATGTCCTGGATATAGACCTCAGAAATTTGTTGTTGTTCCCGCAGTTAATATTAGTCTTGTATGTCTGTATCTGCTTGTCTGAAGATTTCTTGTACTATAGTCTTCCTTTATCCAGGTTTTCCTGGCAACACTAAGTGATCAATAGTCGCAAGATATCAGATACTTGATGTCAAACAGTGACACTCACCTTAATTACAATTACCAAACTATAAAAAAACAAAAATGAAACAGTGCTTTGACTGGTTCTAAGATTATATTACCTCATAAGAAAGAGATGCATGATGTTTATAGAGGGCATCTAGATATCACAGTGAAAGACCACATGAAACATACAGAAAAAGATGAACATAACAAAATTCTTCCCAGTAAGCATGAGTCTATGTTGATCAATCAAAAGACAACCTTAACAATCAGTAAAGTGTCGCAATATAAGAGGATAGGCATTTCTGCTAGCTGCGTAAGAGACACCAGCATGAGAGCATGACATGACTACAACAATTTGCTAAGAAAGAACTCCATCAACTCTGTCTGCGCTTTTGCTGCAGTTATCTTAGCAATTCCCAAATAAAATCACACAGTCTTCAGTTTGAGATCAACATGGAGCAATTAAGAGAAAGCAAGCATCTAATCAAGATAACAAAAAGAAGAAGGTACCAAAACAAAAAAGAAAAAACTTATAACAATACCATGTTTTCCTGACAAGGTCTTGACTCACAGCTGCTGGAGACAGCCCTAATATTTCTGTATTAAAAAATATTG